TCGGGCTCAATCCCCAGTTGGGGGGCGTGCAGGAGGCAGCCAATCAATGATTTCTCTCATCATTGATGTTTCTATTTCTCTCTCCCTCTCCCTTCCTCTCTGAGATCAATAAAAATATATTTAAAAAAAAATTTTAAGAGTCAAGTCCATAAACACTTTATAATTACTTGAAAGTAATTAACCTGAGGAAAAAAGTCCATTAAAAAGCAACTTAATGCTGCCAGGCCAGTGTGGCTTAGTAAGTTGAGCAGCGTCCCATGCACCAGGAAGTTACCAGTTCGATTCCGGGTCAGGGTGTCAAAACAATTCAATAGGGAAAGAATGGTGTTGAGATAACTGAATAGCCACATGTATAAGAATGAAGTTGGACCCTTACCTTACACAAAAATTAATGCAAGATGGATCAAAGACCTCAATGTAAGAGCTAAAATTATAAAACTCTTAGAAGAAACAGACATAAATCCTCATGACCTTGGATTAGGCAATGGTTTACTAGATGACACATGCAGCAAAAGAAAAAGTAAATTGGAATTCACCAAAATGAATAACTTTTGTGCTTCAAAGACTATCACCAAGAAAGTGAAAAGGCAACTGACAGCATGAAGAAAATACTTAAAAGTCATATATTTTATAAGGTACCAGTATATAGAATATATAAAGAATCTGAATAGACATTACTTCAAAGACATACAAATAGCCAATAAGCACATGAAAAGTTGCTTAACATTATTAGCCATCAGGAAATGCAAATCATTTCAGACAGACTAGGATGACTATAATCAGAAAGACAGATAATAACAAGTATTGTTGAAGATTTGGAGAAATTGAAACACATATACAGTTGGTGAGAGCGTAAAATGGTGCAACAACTTTGGAAAACAGTTTGTCAATTCTTCAAATGATTAAGCGTAAGAGTTGCCATATGACCCAGCAATTCCACTCCTAAGTATATATCCAAAAGAAATGAGAACATATGTATACACAAAAACTTGTACACAAATGTTCACAGCAGTGTTATTCATAATAGCCCAAAGGTGGAAGCAACCTAAAGGTCCATCAACTGATGAACGGATCAATAAAATGTTATATATCCAGATAAACAAATATATGCCCATAAAAAGGAATGAAGTATTAATATGCTAAAATGTTGAGGAACCTTGAAAACATTACACTGGGTAAAAGAATTCAGTCATAACAGACCACATATTGTATGATTCCATTTTTATGAAATGTCCAGAATGGAACTGGTTGCAGTTGTCTCCATCTCAATATCAAGAAGCTTATGCCATTCTCATACCAATTATTTTACTTTGCCTTATTATTCATTCTATGTTCATCTCCCAAACCATGGTAAGCTACTTAATGACAGAATCACATCATTTCCACAGTTGCCACTACATGATAGATGTTTAATGTGAAAGTACAAATAGCTAATAAATTTTTTAAATACTCTTAAAAAAAATAAAAATACTCTTACTTTATTACTAATCAAAGAACTCCAGTTGGGAATATATAGATACTATAACTTTTAAAAATTATGTTAGCACCATAGCTGGGTAGCTCAGTTGATTAGCATGTCATCCCCATACGCCAAGATTGTGGGTTCGATCTCCTTTCAGGGAACATATAAGAATCAACCAATGAATGCATAAATAAGTGAAACAACAAATCTGCTCTTTCTCTCTCTCTCTCTTCCTCCCTCCCTCACTTTCTTCCTCCCTCCCTCCCTTTTTCCCTACCTCTCTATCTTTAAAATCAATAAATAAATTTTTTAAAATTATAATTGCAACAATTTAAAAGAATGGGATTACTCAGCACCAGTGAAAGCAAAACAAAAGGAGCATTCTTCTGTACTGACAGTAAGAGCCGGGATGACAGTGATCACTATGGAAAGCAATTTGGCAAGCAAGAGCCTTAAAACAATTCAAACACTTAGTCCGAGTAATTCTACTTCCAAAAAATAATCCTATATAATAAAAGCCTAATATGCTAAGTGTCCAACCATTCGACCAGTTGCTATGACACGCACTAACCACCAGGGGACAGATGCTCCAACCGGTAGGTTAGCTTGCTGCTGGGGTCCGGCCAATCGGGATTGGGTGAGATGGGCTGGACATGCCCTGGAGCCCTCCCCAGCTGGCCAACCTCTGGTGGTCTCTCCCCGGCCAACCGGCCCAAGCCAGCCCCAATTGGCCCTGATTGAGACTGAGCAAGATGGGCCGGACACGCCCTGGAGCCCTCCCATGGTCCCTCCCTGGCCCCAATCGTGCAATGGTGGGGTCAGCCAATCCCCGAAAGCCAGGCCGAGGGACCCCACTGGTACACGAATCCATGCACCAGGCCTCTGGTGAGTAATAAAGAAAGGTCTTAAACATAGATGATTAACATAGTAATTATCTAAAATAAGAAAATGGCTAACTGAATTATGGCACAAATTATGTAACCAGTATAGATAATATTTGCAAACAATTTTTAATAATATGAGGATGCAAAAACGGCAAGCTTTAAAACTGTACACACACACACACACACACACACACACACACACACATATAACAATGTAAAAAAACCTCTAATAGCCCTAGCTGGTTTGGCTCAGTGGATAGGGCATTGGCCTGCGGACTGAAGGGTCCCAGGTTCAGTTCCAGCCGGGGGCACATGCCTGGGTTGCGGGCTCAATCCCCAGTGGGGGACGTGCTGGAGGCAGCCGATCAATGATTCTCATCATTGATGTTTCTCTCTCTCTCTCTCCTTCTCCCATCCTCTCTGAAATCAATAAAAATATGGATTAAAAAAAGACAGTTAAAAACAACCTCAAATACACAGAAAAAAGCAGAAATATATTAAAATTTTTATAACTGTCTATAAGTAGTGGGTTTAAGGAAGATTTTTTCTTTTCTAACATTTTGTTTTCCAAAATAAGTATACACTATTTTCATAATCAAAAAATAAGCAAAAGCTGATGATAAAGGTAAGAATCATGGGACGAAAGGTCCTTACCTAGGGAGGTCACATTTCCATAATTCTCCAGCATCACATCCCAGTACAAGGCCCTCTGAATTGGGCCCAGGCATGCCCATTCCTCTGCAGTGAAGCACACTGATACCTCCTCAAACATCACCAATTCCTGAAATAACAGGTATGTGTGGTTACCACGCCCAGGAGCTCCCCTACTGAAAGGTTCCTTTCACATTGTGAAGTCATGAGGTGGGCAAGGGATATCAGCGATATAGGAAGACCCCACGTAAAGTCTGCATGGACCTTGATTTAGAGATGGGAACTGGACACTAAGCACTAGGATGAGAGAGGGCACTTGGGGGTACAGTTAGGTGGTTCAGATGGATCCTTAGGAAGGAAAAAGGAGGCAAACCTCACCTGGGGCTGGGCTGTTAGGAGCATGAGTGCCATCAATTGATTTCTTGGGTTCTCTTCCTGGGAAAGGGCAGAAGCTTCAGGGGCAGGAGAATCTGAGAAAGGAGGAAAAGCAGCATTGAGATTTCTGCTGTCCCTGCCAACTACTCCAAGTCCAATATCTATACAGGTGAGGGGGCGGCGCCAGGCCAAGTCGGGTTTCCAGGCAGGGCTGTGGGTCTGCGAGGCTGGGGGCACGAGCTGGGGCCTGATCTCTGCAGGCCACCCCAAGGGACCCCATCGGTGCAAAAATTCGTGCACCGGGCCTCTAGTCGATATATATAAAAGCCTAAGCGACTGGCCTACCAGTAGCTATGACATGCACTGACTACCAGGGGGCAGATACTCGACGCAGGAGCTGCCGAACTACGGTGACTTGGCAGCTGCGGTTCTCGGGTGACGAGCCCGATTCTGGGCATCACCCACGAACCGCCCTCTCGCAATCTGGAACCCCTCAGGGGATGTCAGAGAACTGGTTTCGGCCCAATCTCTGCAAACCTGGCCTAGGGACCCACACTGGGCCTCTAGTCTTCTATAAACAAGGAATTCAGAAAGACCCAGAACTCTCATGTCTAGGCAATGATGGCTATAAAGTGACCTACAAACCTTCCATGTACAGGGCTGGAATAACACAAAGAGCATTAATAGGGATGGATGAAAGGTCAGAGACCCAGAAAAGGACAAGAGGGAGAACAGAAAGAGCTTGTCATTCAAAGAATTCATTCAAAGGATAGGAGAGGAAGCAACCACCTGGGAGTAGAGGGATAAGCCACAGTAAAGGTCCAAGAAAAGAAAGGAAATCCAAAGCCAGGGCTACTAAATAAGTACCATGTTGAGGATCCTGGAGGTTGAACATAGCTGGATCAGTAAGAGGATTTGGGCAAATTTCAGCTGATATGTGGCTCCCCGGGGGTGCCTGAGGATGTGCTGTTCCTGGCATGCTCATGGCCTCCTGGTCCTGGACAAGGACTGGAACCTGGGAATAAACAAAACAAAATAAGCTGGCTCTTCTTGTACCTCCAGAAAACCAACTCACCTAACCACTGTGGACCTCTTTCTGCCCATAATCTAGAACTGTGAGATCAGAGACCCACCTCAAGTATGGAGCATCAAAACAGCAGAAAAACTTTGCCTAGAGCTGCCCTCTAGCCCCACTCAGGGCACTGGTGACCTCTCCCAGAAGAGACTGAACAGAACAGTGGAAACAGAAGCCAGACCTGCGTGAGGGTCAAGGAGGGAATGGGAAGTAACAAGCAATAATTAAGAGCATGTGTTTTAGCTTCAGACCTAGTTTTACACACTCTTCTACTTATTTACCCCTTTATTTATCCCTTCCTGCTCCAATGGAAGGAACACTAGAGTAGGAGTCTAAACATGTGGTTTTGCTGCCAGCTAGATGTCTGGCCCAAGGC